TCCTTTCTCCATGGGCTGCAGGTCTCCGGCAGGACCCTGCTCCATCCTGGGCCTCCCACGGGGGAGGCCTTCATGCACCCACCTGCTCTAGCATGGGCTCCTCCATGGGCTGCAGGTGGGTCTCTGCACCCCGATGGTCCTCCATGGGCTGCAGGGGCGCAGCTGCTCCACCATGGTCTGCATCACAGGCTGCAGGGGCCTCATCTCCAGCACCTGGAGCACCTTCTCCCCCTCCTTCTGGACTGACCTTGGTGTCTGCATTGTTGTTCCCATGTTCTCACTCCTCTCTTCCCTGGCTGGAATTCTTTCTGTGCAACAGCCTTCTGTTCTTAAATATCTTATCACCCAGGCATTGCTATTATTCCTGATTGGCTTGGCCTTGGGCAGCGGCAGGAAGCCCATCCTAAAGCCAACTGGCATTGGCTTCAACAGACAGGGGAAGCTTCTAGCAGCTTCTAACAGAAGCCACCCCTGTAGCCCCTCAGCTACCAAAACCTAGCCACAGAAACCCACTACAGATGCCCACGCACATGTGTGTGAGTACACTTGTGTGCATGGGGAAGGCAGTTCCCAGTCTGCCTTCTGAGGGATCCTAGCACTTCCTTTCTGATGAAGCAGCAAAGGTGGACACAGATGCCAGCTTTCAATTCATTACATTCTTCGCAGGGACACTAATTTTCCTCTGCCTAAAAGGGCTGGAAATACAAAGTGGGCTCTAGAAAGACAAAGATCTAATGGCTTTTCCCACTGTTTCATGCTTGCAGAGATACTGCTTCCCCTTGCTCCCTCCTTCATAGGGGGAGGAGAGTCAGGAAGGGAACAGCATCTTTAGACCTCTAAGGTCATCGAGTCCAACTCGATGTTAACCCAGCACTGCCGAGTCCACCACTAAACCATGTCCATAAGTGCCACATCTACACATCTTTTAAATATCTCCAGTATTCCAGTACTGAAATCCTTTCTGTTCAAGACAGTTTGAGCATCTCAGCCCTTTCTTAAAGTTTAAGAACTGGAACCACTTTTGAAGCATGTCCCCACCCCAAGTGGGAAGTTAGGAGGTTTCCTCCCACCCCCACATGCTCACAGGAGATCCTGCCAGGCTGCCAGTTAAGCTTCCCTGTTGCTCCTGAGTGGCCAAGCTCTGTGTAACAGAGATGAGTTGGTGACCGTTGCAGCAACGTGAAGACAGGCATGGAGCAGAGACGAGAGAATTGCCCACAGTGTAGGTAGTCACTGATGCTACTTGCCTTGGGAGAGGAGAGGCCCTACCCCCCTAAACCCCAGCAGCTCTGAAATCTTTGGGTTAGCGTCTTGTCTCATTGGTTGAAAGAACAGTTCCCATGGAATAAGAAAGCTGCAGTCTTCCTTTCCTTTTGAATTTCTAGCCAGGAGAATTTGTTTCATGCAGTCTGCATCCCATGCAAGCAGAGACTATCCAGTACATATTTAGTATATATATATTCAATACATGTATTTACCCCTTCAGTTATGTGTGTGTATCATCAAGGAGCAGGACAGCTTCATATATTTCCTTTTGCCTTTGAAATGTTGGTGATGGCTTGCTGGGATGAATGTCATCTTTATGGCTTTCTCCTGATGCCCTGCATATAACAGCTTGAGGGAGTGTGACTGTGGGATCAGCCAAGACTCTGCCATCCTCCTTGTGATGAAACCTGGAGGGCAGAGCAGAGAGGTGTGATGCAGGGAGACCACTGGAGATCCACAGTCTGCATTTCCCTGATACTGAACCTTCCTGCACTGGCCCTGTATTGGTTACAGCAAGCACAGGCTCACAAAAGGGACTTGCCAAGAACAGCCCTTCTGCTTGTGGGTGGTTTCTTCACGCTCACAAGTTCGATCTCTCAGGAAAAGACTTGTCACAGGTAAACAGATACTTTGTCTCAAAAAAGCACTCCAAAATAAACAAACGTAAAGAAAAAAAACTTCAGAAAACTCCAAGTCCCACTTTTTTCCTCATAGTATTCTCCACTCGCTTAGTGGGGATGTCTTGGGTTCTTTCCATCCCAAAGTAAGAACTCAGTGAGTTTAAGGTCCTTATATTCCCTTCTATACAGCAAAGAAGTAAAAATGCACAGGAGAGATCGTATATTGGCAACTGAGATAACTTATGGTAAAATTAGTTTTCTTCCAAAGTGGAGAAGAAAATTGTTACCTTTTAGGTAAATAGACAGCTGAAGTTTTTGACTTAATAGTTGAATCATTTTTATTTCAGCCTCATTGACTCCTGGACTCAATCCAGTGAAATAATGCATTTCATGGGATGCACAGAAAATATTTGTAAATTTTTGTTACTTTGGAGGAGGAAGGTAGGAGTTGCCACTTTAGTGATTTTCTGAATGTACAGCAATGAGTTAATTAAACATGGTTGATACCATTCCAGCTGGCAGCACAAAGTAATGTCCATCCTGACTGTAATGATGTAAATGTACTTTGCTTCCATTAGACCTATTTGAGAATAAGTAGTTTGTCAGAGTTACATCTCAGATGATGAAGAAATTCTGTACAGGGTGTGTGAGGTGAAGAGACTGTATGAAATTTCATCCCCCCCTTAATGTTTTGCAGGAGGTCTTTTTGGTTGATGTAACATGTTTTGGATTTTGTAGAGAAATTAGATGGATGATTCTTGCACTGATGCAAGCAGGGGGCAGTTGGATTGGTCCTACAGAGGTACAGTGTTACCTCTCTTGAGGACTTGGGAACCACTCAAAGCATCTCTACTTTGTACAATCGTTAAGGGGAAAAAAAAGAGAAAATTAATTCCTTGTATTGCCAAGCTAATTTCCTGAATGAATTTGCTCTGCATCCTCATGCAGTCTGTGCTCTGAGATTTGTTGCAGCTTACAGAGAGGTACTAGAGCACAGGAAGTCCAGGTCACTGGTGCACAATTGTAAAGCAGTGACTTTTAAGTGCTCCTCATGAAGCCCATTTGACAGGTGCTCTGAGTGCTCATTTTGCTTGGCTTTGTTTATTTACCTGGATTTAGGCTAGTATGGGGCTAATGTTTTAAGTTTGTATCACCACTGAAACACTGCTCATGTCAGCTGGAAACACCTTTATGTCCATTACTGATTCCATGTTGTAAACGAGACAGATTAATTATCCTGCCCTGAGGAAGAAGAGATGGAGTTACAATTTAAGAGCTGCCAGTAGTGGGCATGAGTGCTGACTAACACTTACTGTCTTGAGTACACGGAAATCAATTTGGACCTCGTCCGATGAATGCTGTTTTTTTTTTTCCATATAGAGGTACACATGAGAATCGAGAAATAAATGCATTCACTTAAGATAACATTGTGCGACAGCTGAGAACAATTAAAACTCTTACTTGTAGCTGTATTTTTTCCTTCCTTTCTACAGTAGGAGGGTGGTGTCTACAGCTCTGAGGAGTTGGTACAGGCTATTTGTCACTGCTGTGATCTTACCTAGAACAAGTATCATACAAGGTTATTTATTTTACAGCCTTTTCTCCTAGTTTTGCACAACACACAGATCTTGGTAGATGGGAAAGGATTTTTTTTTCTTACTAGAGTCTTTTTGGCAATAAACACATGCCTAACTGTAAGAGAAAAAACTTTCACAACCAAGCTTGTTTTGTGAAGCCCAAACATTTATGAAGCTTACAAACCCTCAAACTTTGCATAATGTGCCCATCCCTGGTCTCAAACATGAAGTGGCAGAAGAGGGAAGTGTTACTTTTTTTAACCAACAACTTATGACTGTGTCAACACATGACAATTTGTCAAAGCTTGCTGTAGCGGTACTGTAAATTAATTTTTAGCATCAGTTGTGAGTGGTAAACACTTTGTGCGGTGTGAACAGCTCTTAGTACAGTGTGAGTTGTCAGCAGCTTGTGAGCTACCCTAAAATAAAGAAAAAACACGAGGGAGGGAAGGATGCAAGCTCGTTTACTAGTACAAAATGGATCTGAGTCTGCAAAAATTTGACATGTGGTGGTATGTTTTTTTCCTCTGTACCAGTCAGCTCAACCTTGAAAACTTGTTTTTTCCACTAAAAATGATCACCTGCAAAGTTGGGAAATCACAACTCTCCATCCTGTGCACCAAACAGCGCCTGATGGCAAACATCTTTCTCAGACTCATGGCTCAATGAAGTAAAGCCCTCTCTTTACTCTTGTGTTTTGCCTTTCCTTGCTTAAAAAACAGAACGTGTCCCGCAAATACAAGCATAGTCCTTTGTTGAAAAGTCCTGAATCAATCACATAAAATACCTGGAAAAAAACCAAGGTGGCAGCCCAAAGAGAAATGATGGGTGATGAGTGCTCTCTCCTCCTCACCTGTCCCTTTGCTGTTTCTCCTTGCCTATCCCAGCTGCTGTGGTGGAGCTGGCATTATTGGTTTGTACAGTAGCAGTCAACATGATGGAAGAAAATTATTCTGTACAAAAAGACAGGGAGTATGTATTGTAGAAAACAACTTTTCGATACAAACCAATTTAAACCTGTCACTTTAGCAGAACAAGCAGTAATAACCTCCCAACCTAACAATGACTGCTAAGCCGAACGTTAATTCGCTCAGTTGTTGAATTGCTAACGTGTCTACAACTTACAAGTGAACACCCACTCAAGAGAGAGAAAATAGAAGTTGGTGCCTGGAATTCCTGGCCTTGCTGAAATCACCTACATTTCTTTGGCACTAATTCATCTTGCGTTTCCTGCAAATGTTTTAAGTAGAACTAGATGAGAAAAACAGCTGCGCTCGTTTGTTTGCTGCTTTGATACACTCGGTGTGGGGCTTTTTTCTCAAGCACAGTCAGTCGCTCTTGGCTTATACACCGTAGGCTGGCTTGGTCTGCATCTTAGGGCTTGTTCCTGTGAGCAGGCAGCACACGTGAAGCTTGGTAAGAGAACTTTATTGAGACATACTGAAGCTAGTTTTAACCGTGTTATAGTTTTAAAGAGAAAGATTGCTTTATTTGTGTATTTGCTCATTAAGAATTTTGGTTATCTCTCCTTTTCTAGATATAACTGTAGGTGCTGCCTGTATGAAAGAGCTGAGCCACACCATCCACTAAACTGTCTAGAGCAGCAGTTGGCTTGCTTGGAAATTGCTTACAGGACTGTATTGTAAGTAAGTATTTTTGCAAAAGCAGCATCAAATGATTTTTTCAGTTTTGAGGTGGTTCTGAGATGTTTTGGTTGTTTTTTATAATTTCGTAGTTTAACATCTAGTTGACATTAGTGTTGCATGTGGGAATCTGAAGCATAGAGCTAAAACCCTTTAAAGGCTTTTTGCTGACTTGTTCTAAAACTCCCCAGCATAGTACCTGAACGCTTCTGATAACATGCAGCTATATGTAAGCCTATGAAGAAATTTGGCCAAGTACATATTGATCTATTTTGTCATTAACTCTGTGGCATACATGTTTTTTGAGTGTTCATCCCTGCCTGCATTTTTACACTTCGGCATTTTAGCTATGCTGGTGTAGCCCTGCTAGGGCAAATGCTTTGTGGAGATTTTTGTAAACTGTGATCTCCCTAATTCAGTTTGAAATCGTCCATGACAGGTTGCCCTTTCTGATCCAAAAAGAGCACTGGTTTGTCTCTTTGGGCATGCAGGGGATATGGCTTGGGAACCTCAGCATGCTATGAATGGAGGTGAATTTGTCAGCTGCATCTGTTTCCATTATCACGGAGTTGTAGAATATCCTGATTTGGAAAGGGATCCACAAGGATTATTGAGATCATCCTAGTGATGAGTGAGTCTCAATGTAGAGGGCCCTATTTCATATTACGAGCCAATTGCATTGAGTATGGCATTGAGAACGTGTTTGCATTTAGAATTAATAGCATTGTCCTAGAAAACTTCAAGATGTACACTAAGAAAACCTCATCATGCTATTTAAACAGTTCCTTTAGAAAGCATAATCCATTTGGGGATGTTTGTGACCTGAAATTTTATATCTTTTATTTCTTTTTATATTGCCTTCATTTTTCTGCTGCTGCAGGTTACGAGAAGTATGATATGAGAAGTATTTATGACATAAGTGCATTTTCCTTGAAATGGCCTTTGATAACATGGTTGCTTGAGATAGCAATCGTGGGAGAGTTAGCGACTTAGAGTTCAAATCACTTAGTTAAGCATATTATGCAGGCTGCTCACACTCCTCAGCACCTTGCAAAATATTCCCTACAGGTGACATTTGCTGTACATAAACTAGGTTTTATATACATATATATATATATATATATATATATATATATGCTAATCCCGTAATCCCATCACCAAGTCCTTCAAATGCAGCGGTTGAGTCAATTTTTGCAATACGCTTTTTCTTTGCGTATCTTTGTTCTTTGTGGTCAACTGTGGTCTCTCTCCAGGTGAGGCTGTGCTGGACAAAATTCTTTGGCTCAGCTCTGCCAGCAGTTATCTGCTAGATAGAATAACTGCTGGTTTGTGCCTGCACTGTGCCTGCTGGACTCATGAGGCACTCAGCCCAATTCTGCATGGGTGAAGGTGAATGAGATGAAAAAAGGACCCAGTTGCTGTCAATGATCAGGCATTTCAGCTATCACAGATTGGCAGAGAACAAGTGAGGGAATTGCTTGGGGGAAATTAGGACTTCAAAATTCTGAATTCTAACAGTTTTCTAATTAGAAATTTAGAACAAGGTATAATATTTGTTTTCAGTATCATGCCTGTAAATGATGTGTCTGCTTCTGGAACTTATGTCCTGACCCAAGCCACCATTGCTTTCACAGAATCATAAAATCATTTAAAATCATAGAAACAGAGTTGTTTAGGTTGGAGTACATGCTGCTGAGGCAGTCTCAGTTGTACCAGTTCCTTGAAGGATTCACTTGCGGTTTTCTGCCTCATGTCCTTCCAATTTAACTGTATTAGTCTGTTTAATGGTGCTAGAAGGCCACATATTGGCTCTCCATGAAGCCTCAAACAGTAGATACGTGCTTTTAAATGGTTAAATAAATGTTAATTATGATTCACAAATAGTTTTTCCCCAACTATTAAGTAGTATCAAACGCTGAATTTTTCATTCAGTAATTGTTTTTCCAGCTGCTGAGTGGGACCAAGTATTCAATATTTTTACAGGGTTATTTTTGCAGCTGCTCGGCTGCTTTAAGCGTAAAAGTCTTATGTTATTTTTTAGGGCTTGAAAGCCGTGGATGCACAGTGGGCACAAAAAGCCTGTGGTGGGAGTGGAATGATGACAATCTTCTGATGCACCTTGGTTAGTTGTGGATAGTTTGGGCCACATCCAGATAAGCTGAAAATAGCATACTGGGGACTTTTGAAAGTTTGTGGGTTTGCAGCATTTTCTCACAAAAGTCTGAAGTCTTTTTCTTTCTCACCGTGTTAGTTATTACACAGGTGGAAATGAGTTATTTTTTTCCCTTTCAAAATCTTGAGACATTCTGTGAAGGATTCAAACAGTGTGAATTATTTCATGAAATAGTGGTTTGACTTGTTGCACCTCCTTGAAAATAGTATAATACCACAGAATTTTGTCTTAGGAGTACATATTATGTGCCTTTCACAGGGAATCTTAAAAAATTTTCAAATATCAATTAAACCACAGATCATGATGATAGTGAAAGAGACATTGTTCTCACCCACCATGACGACTACCCTGGCAGTGAGCACATGGCTCACGTTTTCCCAGTGATTCATTAGCTAACTCAGTAAAACATCCTAGGCGGTCTGATGCAGTGGCTTACTGGTAGCTGTTCTTCAGATGATTACTCATGTCAGTGTGATGCATAGCAGCATCAGAACATTCACTTTGGAACTTACCTTTTTTGTGCATCTCTTTTCTCTGGTTTTCCCACCAGATCTGCTCTGCTGCCTCACAGTGCTGCTGTTTGCATAAGCAGTTGCTGTAATTCTGTGAAGCTGTGAATTAAGACATCTCCTTCTAAATATCACTCCCATGTTTTAATGACACCATAGTCATGAGCACAGGGTGCACAAAGGACACTTAACACTGAGCTCTAGGGAGAGGATGATGTTGGTGGGGGAAAAGTGAAAGGTAAATTCTGTTTAATCTTCAGTTGTGTTGATTTTTTAGCCAAAACAAAAAGAAGCAGAATAAAAAGCTTTCACAAAGCAGAAGTGGAAGTGAAATGAAACGTAGTGACTAGACAAATGAAAAAAAAATGTTCATTATAAAACCCACCAAACTTAAATCACAAAGCCCCAGAAGAAGAGGTGATCTGTCAACCAACCAGCTTGGACCCAGCTTCCACCCAACTGGAACCCATGGTCTGGGTTCAGTTCCCTGCCTTGGTCACAGGTTTCCTGCATGTTCTAGGCCAACCTCCTTTATCAGACCTATGGCTGACTTCCTCATGCGTGCAGTGGAGATCATAGAATCATAGAATCAACCAGGTGGAAAAGACCTCCGAGATCATCAAGTCCAACCCTTGATCCAACACTGCCGTGGTTACTAGACCATGGCAATAAGTGCCACTAAGTCTCATCTTAAAAACCTCCAGGGATGGAGAATCCACCACTTCCCTGGGCAGCCCATTCCAATGTCTGGTTATTCTTTCTGTAAAAAATTTCTTCCTAATATCCAACCTTCCTCACATTCATTGTGAGGACAAAGCCTACTGATGTTGCTGAAAGACGTGGATGTTGTGATGGGACGAGTCCCTTCCAGGGACTAGAACAGGAGGGATGTGCTTCCTCGCAAAGGATAATCGCCCATTGCTGCTTGCATTTCCATGTTTAAAGGGTAAAGGAAATGATTTCCAGATTTAAAAAGGGTTGATTTTTTTCTTTCCAACTCTTTCAGGCCTATTTCTTGTGGAGTTTGGCTGCCCCGGTGCAGCAGCAGGCTTTGGAATATTCCCTGTCTCTCACCTTTCTCCTCTCAGTCTGTCTGCTTATGGCTTTGAGTCATTCCTGTCTGCTCAACATGCGCACCCTGCACAACCCAACAGAATCAGAAACATAGCTTCTGTCATCTTTCGAGTTACATGGAGATCTCCTAACATGTAAATACAGTTGTGTGTAAGAAAGAAACCAAAGAGTGCTTGAGGCTGGTCAGAGGGTTACCAAAGGTGACCCTAGCATCTGAGGAAGGTGGTACAAGGCAGTGGGACATCACACTCAGGAATGCCTGGCAAAGTGTGTGCTGGCACAGTGTGACTTCTAAGGATGTCCACGTAGCCCATCACCACCATTGGCCTTCAGCCCCTCTGCTCCTCCACTCAGTTCCTGATAGGCAAATATTCGTTTGTAGGGGATTTGTATATACTCTCACTCAGTGCTGATGCTAATTCTGAGTAAGGAATCAGAAACGACAGGTTGCGTGCCTTTTGATGTGTCCTTTTATCTCCTTTGGGCCGGTAGTTAAACTTTACTCTCCCCTTATAGGGATTATTTTTCTCTGAGAAGAGCCTGTGGAGCCCCATACACTCTTTTCCTTCTCCGAACAGGAGAATGCTCTTCTCCTGACAGGGATGAGATCTTGAAAGTACAGACAGGTTCATATTCAGACTAGAGCCATGCTTTGTGTTCTCTTTGATTCTGCTACAACAACTCTTGCTGTTTCCTGTCCACCCACCTTCTTTACTGCCTTCCTCTTTTCTTTTAGTATTGCTTTCATAAACCTTCCTATGACCTGACCCTCGACTTTTTCTGAGCTGCCAGGATTGATTAGCAATCCTTCTCTTTAAGACCTGTGTAGTCCTCCCATCCCTGATGTATTTCAAGTCTTCCTCCCATGGCCACAGAAACACTTCTTTAGCCTTACCTTGAGATCCATACTCACCTGGACCACTTTCTGCCACTGATACTCTTTATCCTGACCCTACCATAAGAAGTTTCTTCTTTGTCATGACTCATTTTTGTCAGGATATAGAAGTATCTTTTCCCTCCCAGATCTTCCCTCCTCTACTTGTTCCTTATTCCGAAATGGCAGCCAGCCTTTGTCTTGGGCGGGTCGGATTTTCTTCAGTAACTCTCATCAAGTTAACTTCATTGTTTATTTTTTCCCACCACTTCACTGCACTTGTTTTCCTTCTCATTCATAAAATGGTTTGGTTTGAACTGGTTCTGGTTTCTCATTTGGACGCTGCTTGATGGCACCACACTACAGTCTAAAT